AGTGAGCCTCTTCCAGCCTGGGACAGGAGCAGGGATTAAGAGCACATGTGATTAGCTCCACAATGCAATGTCAGGGGAGTAAAGGAGGGGCAGGGACTCTGGGAAAAATTCGATCCTTCCTAAGAAGATGGAAGGTGAAGAGGTTTGCTTCACCTTCTAAAATCAATGACTTTATTTTTGATTTGGGAGCAGGGACACGTTTCATTGCCCTGACTTCTTCCACATCTCCTCTTTCTCTTACAATAGCTCTGACTCAGTCTGTCCCTCACAGATTGTGTCCTGAAAATCTAATTTTCCCTCCTAATATGAAAACAAACCAACAAACAAAACCCTCTTATTCCTATCATGTGCTGTCATATCTGACCCCTAAACTCTGTGATACCTAGATCTCTATAAGAAGTAATCATTCATTTTACCCAAGAGATTTTCTAGCTAAGAAGAATTTTTGTGCTAGCTCTTCTCTCAGAAAAATTTTCTCTGTCTCTTGCCAAAACTGACACCAGAAAACATATGTGGGGGATATGTGGGGGCAGCCATGTTGCCAGGCATATGTGGGAGAAAGGAAGAAGATGGTGGGAATCGCCATGTTTGGCTGGACTCAGTTCCTAATGGGCAGAATTTGCATATCAAAGCTTGCCAACCTGGCCCTATGAGCCAGGGCTTTCCTGCTGGACAATAAACTTTTCTGGAGAGGCTTTAATAGAAAGAAAACTTTCCCAAGGACCCCTTTTCCTCTCTATCTGCCTAAAATAATTTCTTAATAACTCCTATAACACTTGGGTTCCAGAGACAAGGACATGGGCATCTTTTGGGGTGGGGACATCATTCATTCCACTGCCATAAACATATTCCCCAAAATTGTCCTTCTCAAAAGTAAAATTTAAAAAATGTCAAAGTATTTTCATGAAACAAGAGAGCTGGACCAAATCTTAGACTCAGGTTCCTTTAAATTGTGAGCTTTAACTGTTAAGATATGATCACTCCACTGTCTCTAATGTAGATTTATTGATGTGTAGACAGTTTTAGAGGATTTTTAAGTTTGTGACCCAGTATAAACAAAAGAGTATCTGAGACAGGTCTCAATTAATTTGTAGGTTTATTTTGCCAAAGATAAAGCTTATGGCCTGTGACACAGCCTTAGGATGTCCTGCAAATATGTGCCCAAGGTGATAGGATTACACGTTGGGTTTAAACACTTTGGAGAGACAGAAATTATGAGGAAAGACATAAATCAGTACATATAAGATATATATTAGTTTGTCCTGGAAAGGTGGGATATCTTGAAGCAGGGGCTTCCAGGTCATACATAGATTCAAAGGATTCCTGACTGACCACTGGTTGACAGAGTTAAGGTCTGCCTAAAGAGTTGAATTCATCATAAAGAAATACTTCAGTTTAGATAAGGGTGCGTGGAAGCCATGGTTCTTGTCATGTGGAAGAATCCTGTGGGTAGCAGACAAAGTAGATGGTGAATGGTGCCTATCAGACGTTTAAAAAAAAATGTCAGACTCTTTGGAAAAGACTTAGTAAGGGGAGGAGAGTCTCTCAAGAATGAAAATTTCCCTCACTACAGGCAACTTTGCAGGGCCACTTCAGACTATGATGAAGAAATATATCTAGGGTCAAATATTTAGATTTTTTTCAGGGCCTATTCTCTGTCATGTTGGAGTATGGTATCTTATTGCTACAAAGCATCTGTTTTGTCAGTCTAAAGATCTCCTTTGTAATGATAATGCTGGTCAGTTGTGTCTGAACTCCAAAGGGAGGAGAGTATAATCAGACACATCTAAACCCACCTGCCAGTCATGGCCTAACCTAGTTTTCCTTTTTTCTTTGAAGTTCTCTCTGCCACAAGAGGAGACCTTTCAGCTGGTTGGTGGATTACAACTTATTTTTTTGTTTTAACAAACAGAACAACAACAACAACAAATCACTGCATAAATTCACTCTAAAATAGATTGGTTAAAAAAATTAAGTGCTTCCTGAATATTCCTACATGTCAAAGAGAGAGAAGTGATATGAATAAAGATGGGAAATACCTCTCATAGAAAAGATAAACGATTTGTTTTACTATATTAGTTCGGGTCCACCAGCAATGAGGATTCCTGTTTAGGCAGCAAATTTACACTGGGAGGAAAGGAGGAAAATGAGAAAGGGAACAGAAGATGAAAGGTAAAAGACGTATCAACAACCCACCTGACTCAGGAGAAATGAAGATCACCCACATGTGGAAACATGGAGTAAATTCCTCTGGGCTGTTACACCTGAGAGATGAGGAAGCTGGGGTATGTATATACCTCATCCTGTCCTCACTGATTGTGAGCTCTACCTCTTGTTCCATTTCAAGCTGCTATAACAGGTTCCTTGTCACTGTGTAATTCATAAAGAACAGAAATGAATTTTTCCACACTTCTAGGGAATGGGAAATTTAAGATCAAGGCATGGGCAGGTTAAGGTCTGCTTTCTCTGCTTTCAAGATGACGCCTGTAGCATTGACTCCTTCGAAGAAAGAAAAGCCTTGTCTTAACATGACAGATGAATAGAAGAGAAAAAAAGATTCCAGCCTCATAAGCTCTGTTTATTGTGTCATTAATGTATTCCTCTAGAGGGCTCCACCCTCATGACCTAAATGCATCCCAATAGGCCCCACCTGGCAATACCATTACACTGAAATTTAACTTTACAACAGATGGATTCTAGAGGACATAGTGAAACCATAGCACTTTCCTAAGAGATGCACATTCGAGGCCATCTGGCCAGCAAGGCATGCAGGCAGATCTCTCTGCCCAAGATCATAAAGAACCTAAGACATATATACGGCCATTGGAAGTGAGCACAGGTACAATAAAGGGGAAAGCCCTAGATTACAGATGGGGACTGCTACATTCATCATGGTATAGTCAACCCTAGAATAACTTGGGTTTTAAATTTGCAGATTCACTTATATTTTCTTCTGTGTGTGTCACCTGTGAGCAAGCACTTTATAAGTAGTAAATATATTTTCTGTATTTTATGGTTTTCTTAATAACATTTTTTCTTTAGCATACTTTTTTGGAAAAATAGAGTTTACAATATGTATAACTAAAAAAGGGGTTAATCAACTATTTTATCACTAAGGCTTCCAGTCAAAAGTAATCTATTAGTACTTAAGTTAGGGATGCAAAAGTTTACACAGGTTTTCATCTGCACCAGTGGTCAGTGCCCCAACCTCCGCTTGTTCAGGGGTCAACTGCTTTTTCAGTCTGTAGCTCCATCTCGCTGGAATAGCATCATGGCAGGTGGGTTGCAGGTAAAGGAATCCAGAAAATAACATCTCAAACTATGCTGCATTTGTATGATGATTATGTAAAACCCACGTCATTTAGAAGCAGCAAATGCACAAAAAGACTTTTCCTAAATATCCCTTATCTTCCTAAAACCAAATTCTTCAGAAGGAAATCAATTGTCAAGAAAATTCTTCCTGAGAATTTTTATCAGGGAAGATTAACACAAAACAGGAATCAAAAATAGAAGAGACTGGAAGCTGATACTTTAACCAGGCGGGTGCTTACCTGTTCTCTTGAGGATGGACTTCTATTCTCATCTGTTCTCTCCCAGTTGCCTACACTTCCCAATTCCCTCTTCCCTAGAAAAGAAATAGAAACACCTGGATTTCATTGACTTATCAGGTCATCTCCCTGCGATGATGTCCCACTGCACTTTAAGTTAATTTTGTTTGCCTTTTATCTTATTAATCTTCCTTTTGTCGGTTTATTTTCAGCAAGCAATTAGAGGACAAATGGAGCTTTCTTCCTTTCTCCCGATATAACCAAGTTCTCTTAAAACTCAGGCTGCTTACAAAGCAGCAGGAAGGTTTGTGCACAGGCTACAGCACTGTGATTTGGCTCCCCTAGTCAGGCATCAGTAAAATTTTGTAGAGCCCTAGGCCGCAGCCCACTGATGCTGACATTGTTGGATCCACTTCCTCTGCTACGGAGCCAGGCTGGGACATTTTGGGGCACATTAGAGATATTAGATATAATAGATATAATGACTGCAAATTCCTGTCCAGTCTCATCTGGGTCCAACTGATTTCTTCATGTACATTGGCAGTTGCATGATGAAAGACTGTCTCTTTCTTAAAGATGTTAACAGGGAGGCTGGTGTCTGGGTCAAGATGATGTCTCCAGTCACTGATAAAATGTAAAAGAGGAAAGTGTCATTGATAGTGCATGGCAGGGACATGCTCTGTACAGTGGCCACCCTCATTAAGAGAGATGAACATTGGGAAATAATACTCAATGGCAGAAAAGAAGGTAGACTATGAAGGTGCACAAAACAAGAATAAGGGGCAGCCCATTTAGTCTCTGGATATTAAAGAGACCTGTCACTCTTGATAATGGTGAATCTGTGAGTGCTGCATGCACTGAGAAAATTCAGTGTTATCTTTGTGTATTTGTAGTAAATTGCTTGAACTTATACTGGTAAGAACAATGGAATAACATCATTACCTAATACTTACAAATATATGTAGCATCACGAAAATACATTTTATTTTTAATTTTTTTTGAAAGGAACAATGATAAATTTACAGAAAAGTTGCAAGTATATGACAAATACCCCCTTCCCTAACCAGAATCAAAGGAGAGTCTTTAAAGACCTTAGAATTGTATCATCTAAAATTTTACTATGTGTTTCCTACAAAAAAGAATATCCTCCTAAATACTCCCCATACACCAATGAAATATGTTACTCCATCGACTTTTGAGGAATACTTCAAATTGTCAAAAAAAAAAAAACCTAAAAAATGTCTCTCGTAACAAAATAATCCCCAGTAGAAACACATTCTCTGCAGACAAATTTATGCTACCCTGATCTTTCCTGGGACACCTGGGGACACTGAGTCGCTGCTGAGTTACTGACATGAGCCAGCCCTGCAGCTGTGCCCAGCCTGCCCCATCCCCTGCTCATTTGCATGTTCCCAGAGCACATCCTCCTGCCCTGAAGACTTATTAATAGGCTGGTCACACTTCATGTAAAAGTCAGAACCACTCAGGACACAGCATGGACACGACGGTCCCCGCTTATCTCCTGGGGCTCCTTCTGCTCTGGCTCCCAGGTAAGGAAGGAGAACACTAGCAGTTTACACAGCCCAGGGTTCTGAGTACTGCTTCACTATTCAGGGAAATTGTCTAACAACATGATTAATTGTGTGGACATTTGTTTTTATGTTTCCAATCTCAGGTGCCAGATGTGACATCCAGATGACCCAGTCTCCATCTTCCCTGTCTGCATCTGTAGGAGACAGAGTCACCATCACTTGCAGGGCAAGTCAGGGCATTAGCAATTATTTAAATTGGTATCAGCAGGAACCAGGAAAAGCTCCTAAGCTCCTGATCTATGCTGCATCCAGTTTGGAAAGTGGGGTCCCATCAAGGTTCAGCGGCAGTGGATCTGGGACAGAATTCACTCTCACCATCAGCAGCCTGCAGCCTGAAGATTTTGCAACTTATTATTGTCAACCGTTTAAAAATTACCTTTCCACAGTGTTTCAAACCCGAACAAAAACCCCCAGGGAAGCAGATGTAGAGGCTGGGCTGCCCCAGCTGTTCCTCCTGATGCCTCCATGGGCTGAGAGTGCTCCTCAGATGCAGCCACACTCTGATGGTGTCGGTAGAGGGGGACATGAAGTCACCTCTGCACCCGAATTCTTTTCTCTTTCTCAGCCCCAACTGCACAGACATAGCAATGCCTCTCCTGATTTACTAAAGACAGAGATCATGACACCTGAGGAGTCTAGTTTATGGCTTCAGTTGGACATTATATAACACAGAAGAAGCCACTATAGATATTCTAAGCAGGAATTGTCTTAATACAGAGAATTAGATTAAACTACAGAAGTCTAAATAAAATGTAGACATGAATCTCTAAATTTGTTTTATTTGCATAGAAATATTTCCCAAATGGGACATACAGGAAAACTCAGTGGTCTTAAATATGTTGGAAGAACAAAGAGAAAGGTAGCATTTTTTGAAAGAAGGAAAATGTTACCTATGGCTCTGAGAAAGTTCATTGACATGAGGAATAGTCGCGAGTTGGGAAGCTCAGGCTGGTAAGCAGTGGTGGACAAAGTGAATCCTAGAATTATGTCAAGTTATCTCAGAAGTTGTGGATTAATTTGATTTCAGGTTACAAGAAGCCAAAACAGTGAAGCTTGCAGAGAATTTTGTTACTGAAATGCCAGGGATTCGGTGTAGATCGTGCAGCTCAGCACACAGCCAGCCAATCACTAAGACAACAAGCATTGGCAAGGAACAGGCTTTAATCAGGTGCTGCAGCTGAGGAGATGGGACACCATTCGCAAACGTATCTCCCTGACCAACTAAAATTAGGGGTGTACATAGCAGGGAAGAAATGTGGGAAACAGGAATTATGGAGGGGTAAGAAAGAGAATTTTGTCAACAAGAAGCAGGAGGTCAGTTAGGCAATCATAATGGGTGACGTTTCTGATGTCTCACTGTCCCGATTCAGTGATACCTAAATTTCAGCTCCTTGATAGTATCTGGGAGATCTGATTGTTGGTTTACTGAAAAAAGAGCTCAGGTAAGACAGATGTAACTATCTTGAGTTTTAAGACTGGGGAAGTCAATTTCTATGTTTATTCAAAAAACCATAAACATTAGTTCTGTGGGATAATAGAGCCTATTTCAATTGCATTGTAGAAACAATATTTTTCACCCTGAGTGTCTTTCTCCTCTGATTTCTTGTCTTTGTTGGGTATGACAGAATGACCCAATTCCTATGATTAATGTTCACACTACAAACTTTCAAAGCCAAGGATATAGTATTCAGGAAAGTTGATATTAGAAACAGGATTCTCTGGTGCTCCCTCAGAAAACAGAATGCATCCGCCCCTGAAGTATGGGCTATTTAACCACGTGGTCCTCAGTCCTGTCTGGAAGCTTAAGTCTGGGGTTACTGAAGTTCTCAGCTTCCTAGAGTATTTTTCCAGGTGTTTCTCCAGTCCTCACCTTTGTCTCTGGGCCTGTCTTAGGTACCAATGGATAATATTGAGTCTTCCTTTTCTGACTTCCAAATCTCACGGGGGGATCTCTTATTGGGCAACTCTATAGGACATGAGAGGTAAGGAGGGATATTTACATAAGTTAAAATGATTATCCTCCATAAAGTCCATTTAAAAAAATTCTATTTGAAGCCACATGTTGAAAACACATCCAGTTTTGTTTTCTTATTAATGCAAACTTACATTTGCAAATATTTTCAGGATTGTAAAGTTTGAAAACTTATTTATTTGTTGACAGAATGATCAAACACCTCTATAATTAAGTGGAGTAACATTTTCTTGAAAATTTGTACTCATTGAAATAAAGGAATATATTTAAAATGCATGAATCTATGTTAGAAATTATTACATGTGAATTCAACTATGTGGTTTGGTTTGAGAGGTTGATCACTCCTGTGACCTGTCACAAGAATCTTGTGTCATGTTTTTTTTTTTTTTTTAATTTATTTATTATTATTATACTTTAAGTTGTAGGGTACATGTGCATAACGTGCAGGTTTGTTACATATGTATACTTGTGCCATGTTGGTGTGCTGCACCCATCAACTCGTCATTTACATCAGGTATAACTCCCAATGCAATCCCTCCCCCCGCCCCCCTCCCCATGATAGGCCCCAGTGTATGATGTTCCCCTTCCTGAGTCCAAGTGACCTCATTGTTCAGTTCCCACCTATGAGTGAGAACATGCGGTGTTTGGTTTTCTGTTCTTGTGATAGTTTGCTAAGAATGATGGTTTCCAGCTGCATCCATGTCCCTACAAAGGACACAAACTCATCCTTTTTGATGGCTGCATAGTATTCCATGGTGTGTATGTGCCACATTTTCTTAATCCAATCTGTCACTGATGGACATTTGGGTTGATTCCAAGTCTTTGCTATTGTGAATAGTGCCGCAATAAACATACGTGTGCATGTGTCTTTATAGCAGCATAATTTATAATCCTTTGGGTATATCCCCAGTAATGGGATGGCTGGGTCATATGGTACATCTAGTTCTAGATCCTTGAGGAATCGCCATACTGTTTTCCATAATGGTTGAACTAGTTTACAATCCCACCAACACTGTAAAAGTGTTCCTATTTCTCCACATCCTCTCCAGCACCTGTTGTTTCCTGACTTTTTAATGATCGCCATTCTAACTGGTGTGAGATGGTAACTCATTGTGGTTTTGATTTGCATTTCTCTGATGGCCAGTGATGATGAGCATTTTTTCATGTGTCTGTTGGCTGTATGAATGTCTTCTTTTGAGAAATGTCTGTTCATATCCTTTGCCCACTTTTTGATGGGGTTGTTTGTTTTTTTCTTGTAAATTTGTTTGAGTTCTTTGTAGGTTCTGGATATTAGCCCTTTGTCAGATGAGTAGATTGCAAAAATGTTCTCCCATTCTGTAGGTTGCCTGTTCACTCTGATGGTAGTTTCTTTTGCTGTGCAGAAGCTCTTTAGTTTAATTAGATCCCATTTGTCAATTTTGGCTTTTGCTGCCGTTGCTTTTGGTGTTTTAGACATGAAGTCTTTGCCCATGCCTATGTCCTGAATGGTACTACCTAGGTTTTCCTCTAGGATTTTTATGGTATTAGGTCTAACATTTAAGTCTCTAATCCATCTTGAATTAATTTTCGTATAAGGAGTAAGGAAAGGATCCAGTTTCAGCTTTCTACTTATGGCTAGCCAATTTTCCCAGCACCATTTATTAAATAGGGAATCCTTTCCCCATTTCTTGTTTCTCTCAGGTTTGTCAAAGATCAGATGGCTGTAGATGTGTGGTATTATTTCTGAGGACTCTGTTCTGTTCCATTGGTCTATATCTCTGTTTTGGTACCAGTACCATGCTGTTTTGGTTACTGTAGCCTTGTAGTATAGTTTGAAGTCAGGTAGCGTGATGCCTCCAGCTTTGTTCTTTTGACTTAGGATTGTCTTGGAGATGCGGGCTCTTTTTTGGTTCCATATGAACTTTAAAGCAGTTTTTTCCAATTCTGTGCAGAAACTCATTGGTAGCTTGATGGGGATGGCATTGAATCTATAAATTACCTTGGGCAGTAGGGCCATTTTCACGATATTGATTCTTCCTATCCAGGAGCATGGTATGTTCTTCCATTTGTTTGTGTGCTCTTTGATTTCACTGAGCAGTGGTTTGTAGTTCTCCTTGAAGAGGTCCTTTACATCCCTTGTAAGTTGGATTCCTAGGTATTTTATTCTCTTTGAAGCAATTGTGAATGGAAGTTCATTCCTGATTTGGCTCTCTGTTTGTCTGTTACTGGTGTATAAGAATGCTTCTGATTTTTGCACATTAATTTTGTATCCTGAGACTTTGCTGAAGTTGCTTATCAGCTTAAGGAGATTTTGGGCTGAGACAATGGGGTTTTCTAAATATACAATCATGTCATCTGCAAACAGGGACAATTTGACTTCTTCTTTTCCTAACTGAATACCCTTGATTTCTTTCTCTTGCCTGATTGCCCTAGCCAGAACTTCCAACACTATGTTGAATAGGAGTGGTGAGAGAGGGCATCCCTGTCTTGTGCCAGTTTTCAAAGGGAATTTTTCCAGTTTTTGCCCATTCAGTATGATATTGGCTGTGGGTTTGTCATAAATAGCTCTTATTATTTTGAGGTACGTTCCATCAATACCGAATTTATTGAGCGTTTTTAGCATGAAGGGCTGTTGAATTTTGTCAAAAGCCTTTTCTGCATCTATTGAGATAATCATGTGGTTCTTGTCTTTGGTTCTGTTTATATGCTGGATTATGTTTATTGATTTGCGAATGTTGAACCAGCCTTGCATCCCAGGGATGAAGCCCACTTGATCATGGTGGATAAGCTTTTTGATGTGTTGCTGAATCCGGTTTGCCAGTATTTTATTGAGGATTTTTGCATCGATGTTCATCAGGGATATTGGTCTAAAATTCTCTTTTTTTGTTGTGTCTCTGCCAGGCTTTGGTATCAGGATGATGTTGGCCTCATAAAATGAGTTAGGGAGGATTCCCTCTTTTTCTATTGATTGGAATAGTTTCAGAAGGAATGGTACCAACTCCTCCTTGTACCTCTGGTAGAATTCAGCTGTGAATCCATCTGGTCCTGGACTTTTTTTGGTTGGTAGGCTATTAATTATTGCCTCAACTTCAGAGCCTGCTATTGGTCTATTCAGGGATTCAACTTCTTCCTGGTTTAGCCTTGGAAGAGTGTAAGTGTCCAGGAAATTATCCATTTCTTCTAGATTTTCCAGTTTATTTGCATAGAGGTGTTTATAGTATTCTCTGATGGTAGTTTGCATTTCTGTGGGGTTGGTGGTGATATCCCCTTTATCATTTTTAATTGCGTCGATTTGATTCCTCTCTCTTTTCTTCTTTATTAGTCTTGCTAGTGGTCTGTCAATTTTGTTGATCTTTTCAAAAAACCAACTCCTGGATTCATTGATTTTTTGGAGAGTTTTTTGTGTCTCTATCTCCTTCAGTTCTGCTCTGATCTTAGTTATTTCTTGCCTTCTGCTAGCTTTCGAATGTGTTTGCTCTTGCTTCTCTAGTTCTTTTAATTGCGATGTTAGAGTGTCAATTTTAGATCTTTCCTGCTTTCTCTTGTGGGCATTTAGTGCTATAAATTTCCCTCTACACACTGCTTTAAATGTGTCCCAGAGATTCTGGTATGTTGTATCTTTGTTCTCATTGGTTTCAAAGAACATCTTTATTTCTGCCTTCATTTCGTTATGTACCCAGTAGTCATTCAGGAGCAGGTTGTTCAGTTTCCATGTAGTTGAGCGGTTTTGA